ATATGAGAATGGGAGAGTAGCAGAGCAAAGAATCCATTCCCTGCGGAGAATACAATGCCAGTGAGTGGAACGCGGTCTGAGAGTCACCGTAAACGTGAACACAATCAGTTAAGATCCGAAATGGTTTATTACGTCCTTCCAATGATTGCTAAGCCAGAATCCATCTTCTCGGTTGAAATTGTCTCTGTGTTTGTATATGTGGATCGCCTCATGAACGAATCTCTCATGATAGCCAGATGGCTTGCAGAGAACCTCTGTCTTGGAGAAGTCAATGTCATGTGAGCCCACTGAATTGTAACAGTTATCTGCCACGGCTGAGGAGTTTGTCCTACCGTGTTTCAGGTCTGCTTTATGTTCACGGATGCGGTCCGAGACATGTCGTTTGGTTTCTCCAATGTAACTGCTACCACAGAGGCAACCTAGTTTGTAGACGCCAGGGTACTGTATGTCTGGAACCAGATCTTTTACAGACGGGACCAGATCACGGATTTTATGTACTGTGTTGAATCGGACCTGGATCTTGTGTTTAATCAGGATTTTGGAGATCTTTTTTGTGACCCCAGCAATGTAGGGTAAGGTGATGGTCTTGCAAGGCTCCTCAACAGGATCCTTCTTGATGGTTGGAGTGATGGCCTTGCGGATTGTGTAGTCGGAGTAACCATTAGCCTTAAGAGCTTGGCGTACGTGTTTGAGTTCACTGGCAATGTGTTCCTGGTCGGAAATGCATTGGGCTCTATGGTATAGAGTCTTGATGAGGGAATTCTTCTGGGATGGATGGTGGTGGGAATCCGGTTATAGGTAAGCATCCGTATGGGTGGCTTTCCTGTAGACAGAGTGGCTCATTGAACCATTAGTTCTCTTTTTAATTAGGACATCCAAAAAGGGTAGCTTGCCATCTTTTTCGACTTCCATGGTGAATCTGATGGCTGGGTGTATGGAGTTGATGTGGTCGAGAAATTGGTCTAGAGCAGGCCGGCCATGTGGCCAGATGACAAAAGTGTCGTCTACGTACCTCTTCCATAAGGTCGGGCGTAGAGTGGCAGTCTGGATGGCGTCAGTCTCAAATTTCTCCATGAAGATGTTGGCTACAACCAAAGATAGGGGGGAGCCCATTGGGGTGCCCTCAGTTTGCTTGTAGAAAGTTCCATTCCAGGTGAAGTATGTATTGGTTAAGCAGTGTCTCACCAGGGGGGGTACCGCAGCATTCAGTCCTTGGTGAACCAAGTCTTCAATGATTGCGATGGTGTCAGGTACAGGAACTTTGGTGAATAAGGAAACCACATCAAAACTGACAAGCAGGTCGTCTGCGGACAGGGCAATCCCCTTGATTGTCGATACCAGGTCAGTAGAGTTTAGTACCGCAGAGGTGGTTTTTCCAGTGAAAGGCCGTAGGATTTCAGACAAAAAACGAGCCAATTTATAGGTGGGGGAGTTGATAGTAGAGACAATGGGACGAAGAGGTGTATCTTCTTTATGTATCTTTGGCAAGCCGTATAATCTTGGTGGCCTGGCTGCAGAAGGTTTCAACGAGAACTGTTTGGTCTGATCAATTAATCCTGATTAAACACAAGATCCAGGTCCGATTCAACACAGTACATAAAATCCGTGATCTGGTCCCGTCTGTAAAAGATCTGGTTCCAGACATACAGTACCCTGGCGTCTACAAACTAGGTTGCCTCTGTGGTAGCAGTTACATTGGAGAAACCAAACGACATGTCTCGGACCGCATCCGTGAACATAACGCAGACCTGAAACACGGTAGGACAAACTCCTCAGCCGTGGCAGATCACTGTTACAATTCAGTGGGCTCATATGACATTGACTTCTCCAAGACAGAGGTTCTCTGCAAGCCATCTGGCTATCATGAGAGATTCGTTCATGAGGCGATCCACATATACAAACACAGAGACAATTTCAACCGAGAAGATGGATTCTGGCTTAGCAATCATTGGAAGGACATAATAAACCATTTCGGATCTTAACTGATTGTGTTCACGTTTACGGTGACTCTCAGACCGCGTTCCACTCACTGGCATTGTATTCTCCGCAGGGAATGGGTTCTTTGCTCTGCTACTCTCCCATTCTCATATTTCGTGCTACCTCTTAGTATCTTTCGCACGAAGGTCAATGGTACAGTGTATAAAAACAAATATTATAACATTTATATGCTTAATACAATGTACAAAGTAATATATAGTATCGTAATTGTATAGTGAATATATAGCAGTGTGATATACATTAGGGTGGGTAGAATAATAGTGTAATATAACAATGTATAAGGTATAGGGTGGTGTATAGTAATACAGTATATAATTTAATGTTGGTTTTGTCTATGGCAGCATATAGTACGGGGTAGACCTGTTTGATGTAAGGGAAAAAAGTTTAGCTGGAAGCATATTATATTTTTTGCGACATAGAATTGTAATGTATTACTTACTGTTAGTAGCTCAGCTTATTAGAGAATATATTTAGTATACTGATGATACTATTAAGTTTATACTTTAGTTTTTTTACGTGGTTGTTTGGTTGCTGCAGCTGCATACTATTCACATTCCTTCCCTTTGTTGGTGCTGCCCCTGCCCCCTCCCTTTTGTAATGCGGGCGTAAATGGGCGGGGCGGATATGACGATCCGAGAGGGAGGAGTCAGGGTCACGGGGGGGAGAAGTTATAGCGGGGAGACAGGAAGCCATCTGGGTCAGTCAGGGGAGTAAAGGGTGGTGAACACGTTGGGTGGTCGCCGTGCCTCAGCCTGGTGGCTGAGGGGCTCATGACGGCGCCAGCCAGCGGGGTGGAAGAGAGAGTTGGGGATAGAGACAGAGAGTGGCGAGGTAGCCACATAGGCCACGCAGGGCTGAGGTTGGAGATGGCGAGATAGCCACAGAGGCCACGGAGGGCTGAGATTGGGGAGTGGCGAGATCGCCACACACGGTAAGACTCGGCACCGCCGGCCAGCGGTGACCGAGCACGGAGGAACAGGGAGCAGCGGTGGAGCTGCTGTGAGAGCAGCCAGAGGGCTGCACCAAGAGCCTGCAGCGGAGCTGCAGGAGCGCGGAAGGCTACGGGAGCGAAGGCAGCTGTGGAGCTGCCAGGCAGAGAGTCTCAGGAGGAGTGCCGTGAGGGAAGGAGAACGCGAACCCAAATAAAGGACACGGAGTCAGAGAGAAGCGTCCGAGTCTTTTATTACACTTTGATGCTGCTAATCCTGCACAATGCACGGGCATAATATGACTTTGAAAACCCCCCGCCCACCTCCCACGCATTTCACAATTAGCACTATTCGCATTCCTGCATTTCCCATAAATATGCTAAATTCCTCTTCAATTGCAAATTCTTTTGTCAAGGCTCTCTTCCTCCTCCCTCACAGCTTAAATTCCAAGCCTAAGACGTGTAATTTAGACTCTGTCTTATCGACAGACATGTTCTTCACCTGAGGCCGGCTGCTTGCGATGTGGCCGAAACGTCGTGAGAATTATTTTATTATGTTTTATTTTTATTATTTTATTACTTCCCTTCTACGTGACTTTACCGAAAGAACCAAGAAGATGGGATCTTTATCAGTTTAACCCGTAGGTTTTCGCGACCATATTATTCATAATAAAGGGTTTTTTGGATTAAACTTAATGGATCTTTACCCATTAAGTTTTTTAGGGAGGTTAGACTGCGTAAATATAAATGTGTTGTTAAACTCACCACCAACCGACATAAGCTAATTAGTAAGGTTTGGCAAGTAAACAAAACATGCAAATTACTGGTTCAGGACACCGGTGTGTTGGAGAGTAAACCCACAATATTTACAATTTGAGTACGATGTTTCGCTGGTAATTACAACCAGCCTCATCAGGCAAGCCACAATCGTGAACAATTCCTCCTGTTCCGGTCTTACACAGAGGGGGTAAATGTGAGTAGAAAAAAAAAAACCTCTTGTGGACAATATTGGTCGCGAAAGCCTGTGTGTTAAACTGCAGGGGGATCTTTTAACTGTGATACGGATGGGTGCTAAATTGGTCGGCTCGGTCTGAGATATTTTTCGTGCAAACAGGACCCTGCGGGGTGGGCTGGTAGGAACGAATAACCAAATAATATAAACATAATGTATTATTACACTTGTTTAGCCAGGAAAGCCCCACTGAGTCAAAAGGTTTTTGTAGGGTCCTGCCAAGTGTTTGCAGTAGGGGGCGATGTTGCTACACCTAATCGGACGATACGAAGGGAGAGATTGAGGCCTAGTTCTAGGCTTTAGGCCTAGCTGTAGGCTTTAGGGCGCTGTGAGTTAATTTTTAATTTAAATGTTTTAATTATTTACGTAAAAACTTTAAATTTAAATGTTTCTATTTAAAAACATGAGGGAATGTAACATTGTTAAACATTAACTCCCTTTCACACACGCGGGGGTACGATACGAAGGGAGAGTTTCAGGCCTAGTTCTAGGCTTTAGGCCTGGCTGTAGGCTTTACGCCGCCGTGAGTTAATTTTTTATTCAAATGTTTTAATTATTAATGTAAAAGCTTTAAATTTAAATGTTTCTATTTAAAAACATGAGGGAATAAAGTTTTAATTAAAAGCTATCTCAGGGAATTATAAGGGAATGTTACACGTGTTTAGCCAGGAAAGCCTCATTAATTTAAATGTTTTAATTAAAAGCTATCTGAGGGAATTATAAGGGAATGTTACACTTGTTTAGCCAGGAAAGCGTCACTGAGTCTAAAGGTTATTGTAGGGTCATGCCAAGTGTTTGCAGTAGGGGGCGATGTTGCTACAGGGACGGACGGACGGTCGGACGGACGAAATAATCTATTGGTGGCTGGTCCACTTCGTTCCTACCAGTATAAGGCTCCACTCAACCCACCTCGAAAATCCGACCAAAAACTTGAACATTAATTTGGCGTAATAGCTCTCGTGGAAATTCCAGGTCACGTCAGAATTCCTCAAAAGTCCGAAAACAAACTCTACACGAATGGAGCCCACGAGGAGCTCATTAATGGCACCCTGCTGCCCTACAAACCAAGGCTTTGTAGCTTTTCTATATTAAGCACGATGTGCTTATTGTTTGAAGTTTGCAACTAGATAGACTGTACTAACACCGAAGTCACGCAGACCACACATTTAAAAAGCATTTAACTTTATTCTTGAAATATCAATTACACATTTTTAAATTGATACCATCAACTGTGCCAACCGCTGCCAAATTTCATTTTTTTTAACCATACATTACAGGCAATTAGCTTAGTTAAAAAAATATTGCACAAGTCTTTGCACCAATGTGGCAACCAATGTACTTGACTCAAAACTCACTCGCTAAACAAATTATAGGACACTGTACCACACTCATAAAACAACGCTCCATTCACGACAATGTTCATGCTTTCATCATACAGAATGAACATAAACTTTATGACAGAAACATAAAAGAATTAAAAATAAGTCCAAAACATGCCAAATCTGTGTCCACCGTTTATACCACCACACCAATTATATAGTTTTGTTGATATATTGGTAACATATAGACAAGACAAAACAAAAATGAGTGAACATTTAAAACCATTGTTTTAAATGAAATTAACAAATTGCAAATACTTTGTTGTTCATATCACTGTAAACATAAGATATAATAATTCGTTTGGCTAGTTTAAAACTGAAATATCCTTTGTAACTGTTAATATTATTTTTGAAAATGCAAGTATTTCAGATATGTACTTATTTATACATATACAATAATTATGTTAAATCATATCTGTTATTATAATTACTGAGCTGGAAACCCAAAATAATGAGCAGAGAAGCTGTTGCTGTCCATTGAATATACTGTCCATGTACAAGGACTTTTTTTAATGGCAGAATAGGGTAAACAATTTGTGATTAACAAATCAGAACAAGGCTGAAAGGTGCTGTAAACTTAGCCAGGTGCAGAAGGTTAAAATGAGTGTGCCATCTGTGTGGGATCGAGGTCAGTTCGAGACAGGCCCACAACCAAGGACAAGACCTAAAGCAGCCAGATATTGAGACATGGTAAGGGCAGACGTTACGGGTCAGGTGTCGACCGTGCAACAATTTTGAGATCTGGGAGAAGCAGAGATGCAACGGTGTCCATCGCTTTGGCTATGATGACCACTTCATGTACTATGCTTAGATTTTCTATAGAGAGCCCTGCATTATTAAGTTGTAATTGGAATAAGAAGCACGCAATAACAATTTACAGGCTTTGCTATTTGTTCAGATTGTGCTGCATTGATTCTGAGGTGAAAAGTGAAGTTTGAATAGGTACCAGCAATGACACTGGCTTTGTCCCTGATGTGTGGAGTTTTTTGTATTTACCAATGGATGAATGCACGCGTTGGAGAGTTCCAGAATTATTGATGAAGTTTTTTGTATTCAAGCAAATTCCTCTCTCCGGGATTATGAGACGTGTTCAGCTCAAATGTGTGCTGTCATGTGCACCTCAGATGCCACTCTTGAGTACAACATACCCGGTACAAACCAGCTTTTAGTAACGTTTATGTCCATTGCTGCAAGATAATTTACAATACAGTTGTATCTGGGTGTCTTATCGTTATCTTTCGTAAATTCACTATGCCATTCGTTTAGGAAATATGACTATTCAAAATAATATTCAAAGAAAATTGAATCGAATAAAATTCAATTTTAATGATTGCAACGTTATCCACCCATGGCTTACAATTGTGCACTCATGATTGCAATATAGACATTTCGGATATTGAAACATTCAAATAATTGAATGCACAATGAAGCCAAAATGTTTGTTGTCAACCAGAGTGTGAGGCTTATTGACAATGTGAATAGAATGGCAGAAGTGTGTCTTTTGGCCAAAGAGTAATTTGTGAAAGCATAATTGTAAGCTGCGAGTCTTCGTTGTTAAAACTATTATTGCTAAAACTGCACCTTTCACACTGAATGTGACTCAGAGCACCCACGGTGTTATTTTTATCGTGAGAAATGGTACGGAATCAGAAGCACACAATCCTGTGACATCACTGTTAAATGATGCCTGCTTGATTATTACTACGGGTGTGTTAACCATAAAATATAAGCAGTCTGCTTCACAGTGAACATCAAAGATCCATTGATGTCATACAAAACAAGTAGGCCATTGTGTGCTGGCTTGACGGTCCAAATTTGCCAAATTCGAATATTAGCTGCAAATTACTAAATTAGGATTACAAATAGCAATCATCGCTGCTCACTGGCAGACTAATGCCCAATTGTAGGTTAGGTACTGAACATCTTCGAACCCCCCAGGGCAGCTGCCACTGGGGGTGCCCTTTCAAATGTTTGAGATGAGATGTGATATTGTGTTTAAAGCACTCCGAGATGCCCCAACATAAAAAAGTGCTTTTTGTCAAAAAATAAATTATCATTAAAGTAGCAATCTGAGGCCATTGTCCTGAATGTAAGATTATTTGAAAGTTGGATTTGACTTTAATTTCGATACTCTTTTGAAGGCATTGTTAATAAAGTTGGCTGACAACTTGATCGTATGGCATTTTGCTGTGCTTATGCATTCCTTGCAATTAATATATGAAGGGATTTACGTCGCAAAAAGGATTCAAATTTACATTGTACACTTTAAAAAATCACAAATGCGTTCTGAAGTTGGCAGGATTGTATGGTGTAAAGAAACTAATGTTTCCAAAAAATCTGGAACCATCCAAGTATTTAGCAACATTTCCGAGTACTTGAAGACAATGCACGACATTGAAACTACTGTGCTTGAGATATTTTCAAAACCTTTCAAGAACACATTCTGAGTTCTCGACATGGTAACAAGATCTAAAATAATGTAAGCTGTCTCAAACCAGTATGCCATCACCTGGATCTTCTGTTTTAACTTCAATTAAAACTTGTACAATGGATTTATTCATTTTACAAAACGTATATTTTTTAAACCACCCTACATTTCAAGATTCAAATACAACTTACAATCAGGGTAAACTTAATTTATTTGTCCATAATACAGGTATTTTTGGGTTAGATCTCGTCAATATATAAATGTGTCGTTTAACCCGCCACCACCCGACACAGCCAATTAGTAAGGGTTGTCACGTAAACAGAACGTGGCCAATTCGTCACTAGTACAGCACAACGGTGTGTTGGAGAGCAACGCCACAACATTTACAATCTAAGTACGACGTTTCGCCAGTAATTACAACTAGCTTCATCAGGCGATGTCACCACATCTACCACTCTATTTAAGGAACGAAACTGGAGGATTTCTCCACAAATATGGCTGTTGCCTGATGAAGCTAGTTGTAATTACTGGCGAATCATCGCACTCAGATTGTAAATGTTGTGGCTTTGCTGTCAAACACATTGGCGCTCGTAACGAATTGGCATGTTCTGTTTACGTGACAAACCTTACTAATTGGCTGTGTCGGGTGGTGGCGGATTTAGCGACACATTTATATACTTGTGCGATTTAACCCAAAAAAACCTGTATTATGGATAATGGTCGCGAAAGCCTACGTGTTAAAATGTCTGCCTCCTCAAGCAAACATGGTGACGTGCTGATCTACGTTGACAGTCCTGAACCATTGGAGGAAATTCCACATTTCTATGATGGGGGCAGTTCCTTTGAAAGGTCACTGCATCCACTGCTGACTTCCCCCAAAAAAGCAGTTCTTATTCACCTCTGCAGGATGATAAATTGTGTTGACCTCTGACCGAAATTTTAACTTGGTATGGCGCCACACTCTCGCAATAAGGAAATCGAAGTTATCATATCTTGTTTTTATATATTGCATCATGTATAAGGTTTTAAGGGCTCGGCCACTCTTCATGGCTTGCGTTATGACACTATAAGTCACAATGGGATCTGAGACTGCACGTGCAATCACAAAGTTACATCAACTCTGACCCCTTAACCCCTTTACAATCGACGTGGAGTTTCCAGCAGGTATCATTGTAATTGTTCTTCAATACCGGTGTGAAGCATTTAATATCCTCACACAATCATCACAGCTGCGACAATTGACTTGAAAACCATTTTTAAATGTGCACGTGGGGAACGTGGATTTAGCATTATGCTTTAAGTGTCATTAACATAATGGCACGCAGTAAAAAAAGACAATTTAAATTAAGTTTCGCTTTCAGAGACACCTCCATAGGCAACGCTTGGATAATTATTAGCTTTACATGAAGTCAATAATGGCATTAGTATCAAATGTTTTGAGTACCTTACAATTTCCCTTTTCAGAATTAGTTCACGTGGCAATACTGTATTAAGGAGATTTGTGGACCATACACATTCGAGTCAGACCACACACTCAAAGTAATTCAACTCTATGGACAAAACGATGAACCAACTGCTGCCCACACATGCGTGAGTTGGTTGAAAGAAAAATCAACTCATTGAAGAGCAACAATAGAAAAGTAATACATCCATTTCATACAGCCACATAGTTACTCTTAAGTGAAACAGACGTGGCATGCGAATGCTAAATAACATTAGTACCTTGTGCACGGTAGCTATGGCTAGAGTGTAGATGAAATACAATGATAGCAGACCCTGTACGTTGCTAAAAGGGTATAAGCGCCCATCTTGAGTATCCCTGGGTCAATTTGATGCCCAGACTCCACTGCAGAAGAATACAACGAGAGCCCATTTGCGAGAGGGAATGTGGTCATTCAGAGCAAATAAATGAGGCTTTTCATCTTCTGGAAATGTTCAATGCAACATTTTTCTTAGCAGCCATTGGTTGGCAAATGCTGGATGGCTTATCTGTCTTTTGGAATGTAAAATACATCAGTGGCTGAAAGCAATTCAACCCCCTACCTCCAGGTAATTTGAGTCTAAACATCTGTCAAGTATTGGCCCAGCATCTTGCTTTATTTATGTACCAGATAGGTTTGTATCTGACCTTTTAACCTCGGTTGTTATCTGCCAACTTTCTTAATAGAAAGAAACTGAATATTTTTCAGCAAATAGCTTAAAAGCTCAATTTTTGCCTATTCATTGTAAATTACGATTTATTACTAAAATTACATCAGCTCATGATGGAGACGTGCGTTTGAGTGATTTTTAAATGATACAATGGTGGATAAAATACAATTACAGATTTGCGATGTTATCACACTCTTGGCAGGCTCCCTAGTGTTAAACGCGCTTAAAATATGCACTCGCTTTAGATAATGGAGTGATGAGTTATTATCTTTACTGTGTCTTGAAAGTTCAGACCACACATTGTGTTCGAACAAGGTAATGAATGCAGTGCTCGACTTTGGGTAATGATGTCAAGTGGATCAAGGGAACCGCATTTTCCATAAAAATAATTTAAGATTAACATGTTTTCTCCGTTTCAGCCGAAATGCTATATTTTTTACACACCGGTTTGAAATTATAAATTTTCCAGATTTGCCTGCTCTCAGTTCATCATTTTCACTATTAGGTTTGTGTATTTTGTCTGCTTCACTCGCTGTGCACGCATTTTCATTTGCAGGTTGCATTCATATCAAAGTGCCTCAAACTACTTTGAATCAAGTCACTGTTCAGTTTGCAGTTGCATTTGACAGCACAGTTGTTTTGCAGCGGAGAGCAACAACAAGGTGTCCGCTCGCGCCTGCTACTTGTGTCCTCCGTGCACCACCCCGGGCCGGCCCTGCTTCTCCATGATCTTGCGGAGCTTCTGGAGGTTCGAGTGCGTGATGCTGTCGTCAGGCTTGAGATGCAGCGCACGGAGGTAATGGTTCTCAGCCTCCTCCAGCAGCCCGTTCAGGTGCAGGATGGCTCCCAGGTTCATGAGCGCTGTTGAGTGCTGCCAAAGCACAGACATGCATGGATTAACACGCGCACTCAAATTCCCAACGACAAAGATACCCCAGCCCAAGTATTGTTAACGAGCACCTATGAACGCCAGCACGACACACGAGGGGGTGGGCGGGCCGGCACTAAGCATGATGATGATTGTTACTATAAAACTCTTAAGTCGTCCTTCCATTCGTTCCCTCAGCTCAGGGCAGCAGAGGTAACACTTGTGCTCCGAGAGTTACTCCTGCCTCGCGTGCTTTCCTACATGGAGTTTGCATGTTCGCCCCCCTGTTTTGCATGGGTTCCCCTGGGTTCCTTGATAATTACAAAAAGACGTACAATATAACTGGTATTGGACAAAAGTCCTAATGCAGAAAAAATGCTTGCAAATGACTCAATTGAGATTACACAAAGCAGCAACACCGCTCCCTAGTGAAAAAAGTTGACAGGACCCTCCTGAAAAATAGTCTTGAGACTCGGTTGAAACTCTGCTGTTGTACACAAACGTAATAATAAAACATAATAAATACATCAACTGCAATGTGGTCCGTGTGAATTTAGCCAATGACAATAGCCCACGTGTTCAAAAATATGTTTTGGCATGAATAACATAATGAAAACCGGTTGCTTCAGCTGCATCAAGGTAAGAGCTATATTGTGTTCATTTAAAAAGCTCCCAGGCCAGTCTGAGGCAGACATTAGGTTGGGAATTGGGAATAGCAGGGGCAGAATGATTACGCGTGTGATTGGTGAGAAATAATGTGTAGCTCTAATAATCCACAATTTGAATAAGAGCATTGCAACTGCATCTCAAGAATGCAATTGTCATTTTTTCGTGGAATCATCAAGTGTGAATTAGATTTATATAATGGTCTGCTTCCATGCATAAACAAGTAGGAAATGTAATTATATAATGCTAAATAATCTGGTCTTATCTATGACGCTGAAACATAGACGTCAGCAAAATAATTCCTGACTAAGATTGGAGGGCATCAGCAGGAATTAGTTGTTATCAGTGGAAATTATTATTAGGCTTAATGTTAAACAGGTATAGTGATTATAAAAGGGAATTCCAGACATGGGAAGTAGCCAAGAAGAAGTAAATATAGTATTGGTGATTTGTGAATGTGTTTGCCGAAGTAGGGGGTTGCACAGTGATAAGAATCGGTGAATTTGCTCTTGTAGTATCTTCAAGTGTGGCTTAGAAACGAGTAGAGAAAATTGAGATTGGGAAAACGTTAGAATAGCAGCTTGCAACAGATGCTTGTTTGCCACACGTCACCCGGGGCAGTCCTGTTAGCCGCTGATGTTAAAACGTCACACAAAGAACTCGCGCCATTTAGATGGAGTTAGCCAAGGCAGGCACAGTTGATTATTGTTCACGATCAACGTGGCCTCAGGAATACAAACCTGGGTTGCAGTGAGTGTAGCACAGTGTGCTGCCGCAACACTGCATTATAAACAAATATGAGAATGGGGTTTGCTGCCAAAAAGACAAAGACCACATCCTCCCCACCCACCCACGTAGCTCCACAGACGAGAGAGGGGCAAGTGCCGTTCGTGGAGAACTATTTAGTCTGTTGCGGCAAACGAGGTGCAGCAAGGACCACGCCCAGCTATAGCTTTCTTGTTTTAAGGCTGAGTCAACCTAGATGAGGCCCATGACAGGTTCAGATACCACGCTCCACAAACGCTGTATAATATAGCACCAAGATTTAAAGTTTTCGTGACTGCAGGGATCCATACTCTTTGGTTCTTTAGGTAAAGTCACGTAGGTATAAAATAAAATAAATGAAATCACGATGTTTCGACTGCAACACAACCAATCATCAACAAGGGGGGGAAACCACAGCAAAAGCAAAAAATGTTCTTGCTGTGGTTTTCCCACCTGATGATGATTGCTTGTGTTGCAATCGAAACGTCGTGATTTAATTTATTTTATTTTATACCTACGTGATTTTACCGAAAGAACCAATGAGTATAGCACCAAAAATTAAACCCACATTACTGGAATCATAATGTATGTATGTATTTTGAACTTTTTCCGCATCGTACATAGCCAACCATGCTAATCGGAGGTACACGGGAAAGACAACAAACTAGACACAAAAAACATTACTAAAGAAACGAGTTTTTAACCTAAGTTTAAAAGTGCATCGCTGCAGTGGCATTCCTAATATCGGAAGAGCATTCTAGATGGCCACAAAAGAGCATCTGAGGGCTCGCGATGCAGTGGCCATCTTTGTTCGATGGCCAGCCAAAAGCCATACAATTTCCAAGCCACTGCACTACGACTCCTCACACGAACACAAAAGGCAAGTGCTAGTGTCAAAAAACCTTTTGAAAATGGTATGTTGTGTGAGGAGGTGTTGTAGCCAGCACTAAGCCTGGTCACCTTTGTCTCCCCATTCGTGATGTTTACACACCACACCGAGTACCCATGTAAGGCTCAGTCAACCTAGAGGAGACGCAGGACTGGTTCAGTGAATCACACGCAAATGGCCACTGGGTTCTTATCACAGTGCACTAACCACTACGTACGCAGCTCCCCACAAACACACATTTCTAATACAATAATAATTTCACCAAGTGACACGCACAGTCTTCGCTCACTCTTGAAGAGAGGGAATAGGACTCAGGCACTTTGATCCACGGGTAAGCAGGAAGGCAGCCACGCGACGAGCCGGCACCAACATTTTCGCAAGCTCTGCGGTCTGCGCTGTATTAAGGCATTCTTGGCCAATTAACGAGTGTTTACATCTAGCAGGAAACCGAAGCACCCGGAGAAAACCTACGCATGTGAGGGGGAAACACTCTATCCCATATAGACGGAACAGGTGGAGTCCACAATTTTGACGTTAATGCATTCTCCTTGGGAACCAGGGTATAAGCTCCCCGAATCCCACGGGGAGTTTCACAGCATTTGCACGATCCACCAGGACGCGCCACCACCGCCCGGCATACAAGCGAGTCCCATTGGGACACGCTTGTATGACCCTGTGCCACGAGAGTGTACTCCACTTGTCTTTCATTTTCACCTACAACACGCGCAGGGGACCTCTTACGACTTACATTAACACACAGTGGGACAGCAGCAGCAGCAACAGTGGCTGCTTGCCACCTTTGTTTACAGTGGAAACGAAAATCGCTGCAATCGTGGAGGACGTAACACCTCGTCATCAGACGATGCGCAAAGAGAAGATGTTACATACTCTTTGGTTCTTTCGGTAAAGTCACGTAGGTATAAAAAATAAAATAAACTTAATCACGACGTTTTGGGCACAACACATGCGTCCGTCATCAGGTGGGACAACCACAGCAAGAAACAATTGCTGGTTAACATAACATTTGGAGATTTTTAAAAAAATCCAGTTGAATGCTAAAGCAACCTCTTAACACATTTGTATTGGACATCCTTGTATCTAGACAGGATACATTATGTATTCATAGTACGTAAGTATAACTTGAAGCCTTTGCTATTTCACTGCTGGACGAAGGTCTTCCCTGGGCCGTGTTGGTCTGGGGGTTGTCTGACCATACTTCATCATGCTGTTCAGTGCGGGTTGGTGAAGAGGGGACTCAGGACAGATTCGGTTATCACTTGCCACTGATGTTAGCCATGGTCGGGAATCGAACTCAGGAAGCTGAGTTTCCTACTGGAGTGTGTCAAGCGCTGTGCCACAGTTCACTCACTAGTTTGTATTGCATTGAAACAATACAATCTACCCAAGGGAAAAAGTACACAGTGTACTGTATATCCTCACAATTTCCTGTTTATGTATAGCTTTTTGCCTGGTCCTATTAGCCTAACAAGTATAGCTAAACAAACTGCATTTGCAGTAAACACACAGTAATACACCGATTACGGATACCAGAAATGTATATTGCTTGACCTTGTGTTGGATTCGGTAAACTGAAATGGCTCCATAGACCCATTCCTTATTCAATGCCCACAGCGCCCCACGTGAGCTTGCACTTACCCATGGGGGGGGGGGGGGGGGGGGGGACTCTTGTAAGTGAAATGGGAAGTGTAAGTCATAACACTGAAAGTGTATATAACCTACGCAGATCCTTACAGTGAATGTGCAGTGTGTGTGTTTTACATTTATTCATTGAAGGCATGCAGTTGGCTAGGTGTAATCGAGCACGTGCAGCATATTATAATCATGTTTCAGGCGTGGTAAAATGATGACAAGTTTTTTTCTTCCTTGTAGTTTTTAACCTCTGCTCACATCTTGCACACAATGCATCACATGGTCACACACAACACTCGTGATACAGGCAATACAATATTCGCGTTGTGCACTTCTATACTGTGTTCCCTTTATTTGATTTCAGTATGGATACATATCTCGTGGAATAAATCTAATCTGGCATACATCCAGAGTCATCGCGTGGGGCTTCGAAATGACTTTAGACTTCACAATTCTGAATTAACTCTCCCACCTACCGCATAGCCTTGAGGAAAGTGTGAGTGCTTGCGTGTACTGTGAAAATCAAGAGCAGAGACAGTGCTAGGAATGATCAGCAAGTACTGACTGAGACTGAGTGTTGGAAAGCAGGCAGTGGGTCTGTGGGTCTGTGGGCACGTGGTGTTTCTATGGGCATTGATGTAAAGGGCAGCAATGGCATAGGTAGCAATTGAGCTACCATCCCAAAATCAACAACTGGGCATCCACAAGACATGCGACTATAAGTATATAAACCTGTCCCGGACCTCCCCTAGGTCAAAACGGCCTAAACTGAGTACTGTACCTGGTAGAATTTGGCTAAACAGCACCACCGCCTCATGGAACATTCTGGCATGAACAGGAGATCGCTATATCAGTTGGCCCGGTGGTCCAGTTCCCTGAGCACAAAAGCAAGTGTCACAGAGACCCTAGATTCAGATCTGGATTTCCACGACACATCGTTAAAGAATAAAGTTTACTGAAAGCAAACTTTGAGACGCAAGTTTCTCTGTGCATTTGTTGGTGGGATAAAGATACAGGTTTGACAAATGAGTCAAATATGGAGATTCGCATACAACTGTACAGTTCATGTACTGAGTTATATCAAATGTTCATTGAAATATGTCTGCACTATTATAGACTAATAGAGATTTTGATTATATTTAGTACACCACTGTAATATTCTAGAAACACTTTTATGCTAAATGTTCGTATGCTCCCGATCAGAATATACCATTCATAAACAGTTAAAACAACAAACTATGATAATTTAATTGTTTTTACCTCACCCTCTTGAGTTAGAATGTTTTAAAAAATAATATAGGATTTTTTTTCTGGTAAAAAAAGTCTGCAACATAATAAAAAATAATATTTATATTAGATCATTTTCCCCCAGGCAAAAACAATTCAAATATCACCGAAGTCTCTTAAAATAACAAGTACTGTTTATTTTCTTGAAAAAAAAATGACATTGAAAACCTAGGCACGTATGGTTTGTAAAGTGGTATATTTTCTATATTAGGAACACAGCCTGGATAAGATAAAAAAAGGTTTGTTGAATCGTTGGCACAAGCTTCCCCAGTGTCATACATTATCCTAATTAATCATACAAAGTCCATACATTTTATTATACTTGCTTTAAAAGGACTGGCTCTCACTCGTGCGTTAAAGCAATTTCAAAATGCAGACTTAAATATTTCAGGCCACCTATTTATATCTTTGGCTAGATACTTATACATTGCTTAACATCAAGCAATTAAAACTGCAGGTTGAACAGATGTACGATTACACTCAGCAGGGGTAAGGAGAAGCGGTGGTGAAGTAGTTAGTGCACTGAGCTTTAACGCAACATCCTCAGGTTATCAGCCGCGGGAAATATCAGTGGTGTGTAATATATGCGAACCTGTGAATTATAGCCAAACAACCCCTACGACATTAGGACAGGGAAGCCTTCATTCTGCAGAGGGTTGTAGATTGTTATCATTAATGAGGATCAACTAACTACACTTGCAATCACAGCCAAAACCAGGATAAGGCATTTAAATTAAAATACGATATTCTTTATTAAAACCATTACAAGATTATACTGTTCCCTATCACTTGCCTGGAAGGATTTCCATAAATACAGAATGGCAACCACTTTTTCACAGTTTTTCTGGTGTAACAATACATAGTTGAGAGCATGAACACTTAACAGAATTTATGGATGTATTTTGGACTTCTTTCCCACCATACGTAGCCAACCGTGCTAACTGGAGCATGTTAGTAAGCCATGGGTACATGATTCAATTAAACTAATTCCATTGCATTGTATTTAACAATGTCAAAACAGCCCATAGTATAATGGGAAAATAACCATCAGGCACTATAAATTAAATATAGAAGTACACAGTCGTGTTAAACAATATTTTAAACAAGCAATGTTGTGTTGGCAGACGTTAAACTCCTGCATAATGTAGGGTTTTTTTTTAAATAACATGAACCTCCAGTAATACGTCTTTCAGTAATGTTAAAACATTTATATATATAAATCCGTTATTCAGGAAAGCCACGAGTGAGTCTCTTGATTCTTTCAAGCGGATCCTGCTTGGGATATGTGGTCAATTCATTACGAAGTGCATTTTTTGGTTTTAGAGGAAACGAATAACCCACATAAATGAGAATAAAAATGTGCAGACTCTACTCCCTTCTCATGGGTAAGAGCCAAGCCCTGACATGTCTTGCTCACGCCACTGGTGGTGAGAGAACCTCCATAGAGAGCCCCACTTGTCGGTATTTGGCCTGCTCTTCCACGCTGCCTGTAAATTCTTCCTTCTGACGTTAGCAAGCCACTGGAGCTATGCACTTTTAAATCTAGATTGAAAACTCGTTTCTTTAGAACTGCTTTAAGTGTTTAGTTTGTTGCCCTTCCACTGCACCTCCGATTTGCGTGGTTGGCTACGCACGGTGTGAAAGAAGTTGAACATACATACATCTCGGAAAAGGTGGGCTTACCCACCCTTTAACTGATAACACGTGACCTGTCATTCAACTGTGGCCTTCCAATCTATACTGCTCGGAGGACGGGCGGACGTGCACCATTTATTCAACTGCCACGCTGGGAGATCTCTGCGTTGGAAATCCGGTGTGCTGACCATTACACCACTAGCAGCATCCTGCCTTCTCACTACCTCCTCATAGGCAACTATAATTCTGTATTGTAACCCTGGATATTTCTCAGAATTTAGTTCGTGTTCGCCACCAACCCCTTTGATTACGTTTTGAAAGTGGCAACCCGAGCTCATATAACACCAGAGTTGTCACAAATTATATTAAACTAAGCTTTGAAAATATGACACCAAGTTTAACAATGGCACACTTGCCACACCACAGTTTTGAAACTGACAATCATTTACATTGCAATCAGTCGTAGAATATTATATAAAATATACAACAGGTGGCAAAACGTCATTGAATTAAATGAAAGCTGTAAGTATATAGAAATGCTGTTATTTTTTTATTTCCAGGGCATGAAGGCCTGGCTGTCACGCTCAATTACGAAAAATAAATACTGCAAGTAGAGAGTGTATGGCATCACAATACCACCACGAAATCCAACATAAATATTGTAATTTGGCAGCGTGATACGGTGCTCGAGAGGTGAAACACATCCCATTTTATACAGTTCACGTGTTCAAAGCAACGTGTCGTTTAATAGAACAGTAGTAGAGATCGCTGGATGCATGAGGGGGTTCATATCTATTACGGAACTTGGCTAGCAAGGCTCAAAACCTAGGTTTGAAATTGAGAAGCCACTCGTGATTAAACCGGGTCCTCAAGTTTAGTGCGGTGGTGGTCTCGGCCTGGTCACCAATAACTGCACATAAACCATCATATTATATATGTTTTAAAATGTAAACATGTCCAGCTGAAATCCAATGACTATAATTTGTAAATATATGACGTACTTTACATGCAGCAAAACATTCTTTAGATAATTTATTACGTGCTGCCAGGGCCGAATGGTCCATAATACATTTACAAATAAGCAGACAATGGTCTGTGTCAGTATGTAAAAAGAACATAACATGTACGTCCGACAGCTTATGGGTCTTCTGGACAAATGCTTTACAGCAGCATTTGTTTACATGTATCTATTATTTAGACAATCGGATAACCCAGTTGTAAACTGTGCCCCTGTGCTGCTCGCTCATTATAACAATTCATATATTCTGTTTATGTTTCTATTTTGCCAAGAAAAAAAAATCACCCATTGGGATTACCTGCTTTAATATTACTAAGCCCCAAGTCTACATGTTGGCATTTGAATGTTATACAAAAAATCTTCAAATTAATGCCAATCATATTCGGGTGATTGTGTATTTAAATTGATAAAATTAATCTACAGTATTTGCAAGCAATGATTGTTGACACAGAAAAGCCAATGGACTACATAATGCTCCTGGCCAGTATTTAGGACATCAGGAACACAGAAAAGCCCTGTTTCATTATCCGTGTTTGACATTATACAACTATTTGGATATCTCCTTTTGCATTTACTTGGCTTGATGTGGAGTTTGCCAAGCCATTAAAAAAATACTCAACAGCGCATATATGTGTAACATAGCCGTAATGTCCTCAAATTAACGTTAAATAGCATTCCTGTGATTTGAAAAGCAGTGTGCCCTGCAGCACATTGCCTTGGATACGAATAAAGTAAAGATTTTTATTTTACCAGGTAAAGCCCACTGAGCTACGTCGCTCTTTTTTCAGAAGCGACCTGGCCTCAAATGATAGCTCAACGAAGTGGCTTATTGCAGGAAAATGGATAGCTGCCAAATACTCTAAAAGCGTGTTTCTAAATGTGGAGGGAAAAAACGGAGGACCCGGAGAAAAACCCACGCGACCACAGGGAGAACATGCAAACTACAAATATACAGTAGGCGTCTGGGTCGGGATCAAACCCACAACCTCCTGTAAAGCAGGAGAGGGAGTTAACATCTCGCCACCGCGGTGCCCAGATAACATTGCACTCCTTCTGAGCCTTGCCTTGCCTCCCACCAAGAAGTAGTAATGGCCTAGCGTGAGTGTAGAGCAAGCTTACATTCGGCCGAAGCTGGGCTGCTTGCCGGTAATACTTCTCTGCGGCGTGGTTCAGTCCTGCTTGCCTGTTTGTAGAGAAAACAAAAACGCAGCATGTGAGTTTTTTTTCTCCTGAAAATGCAATTCAACGGATTTGAATGATTCTCGGTATTATACGTGGAAAATGTATACTGTGTTCACAGGATTACACTGACTTCCATCTCAAAGCCAAAATCGTTTTTTTCCTCCTAAAATGAGCACGGGCCAGTGCTCGCCACAGTCGACATCCCTGCATCAATGGCAGAAATTCCATATTCCTACTGTTGGAACCTGTCTATTTAAATAACACCTGTTTGCCATAATAACATGCATTATTTATTATGTTCCATTATTTTTAATGTGGCAGTGCACGATAATACAAAAAATCTAAACACGAAAACAAATGTAGTTCAGAAATTATTCGCTTTCAGTGTTCTGAAATGTTCTAAGCACAGCACTTGCTATTCAGTTGCATATTATTAATCACACATACACACAGGATTTTCTTGGTGCATTATAATAACCCCCAATGAAGCACAAGAAATGAAAGAGTTTAATAAATACAAGTGAGACAGACAGTCTTCAAATGCACCAACTACAAGCAGCAACATGATTAGTATGTCATTTATCACCATGTGTGACTGCAACATAAATGTATTTCAACAAGCAACCGCTACGTCCCACATGACCCATTGCAGAACACCCCAATTATGCACCAGCACGTTCCCTTGAGCCACGTTACAGAAAGGAGCATCGTTTCCAGGCTGGGGTAACAGGAGCACACGCGTTTATATTCAAGTTAAAAGCATCACTGTCTTACCCCTGTCAGTTCAAGCCCAGAAAGATTGCATTCAAATGAATGGAAGTCACCATTGTGGAAATCCCACACTTTGTTAAGGTGCTTTAATGCATTGCAGCACAGGTTTCTTTAATTGAATAAATGATTTAGAAACATTACTCAACAGACAGACACGACAGGTCAGCTCACTCGGTCTCTTCCAAGGTAACGACAGACAATTGGGAGCCTTTACAGCCTGTCATACAACTCCACCTGCTTAAGTACGTAACCGTGCAGTCATATCACTGGATCACGTGCTGCCTCGCCGATGGAAGTGCATTTACAAATTGAAACAGAATGATACGACGCGAATGTTATTCTGGAGAATATGTTTGTGTGGCTATTTTCTGCACTTAATAAATTATCGACTGGTCAGCTGTACATGCCTCCGAGTCGGTGTGCATGGTGCAAACAGTTGGATTTCAATATACAACCAATCATTTCCATGGAGGATTGCTGAAATATGACATCGATTATAAAGTGGATTTTAATGGAGATAAAACGCAATTCACAAGTGTAGGACAGTCAGCGCTTCATCCCACACAGCCCAAGTAAATAAATTACATATTTACACAGAAATAATTCATATGTAAGTAAATGTCCCTTGCATAATCCATAAATCATTCATCTGCGGTTGTACATGGTTAAATACATTGTAGGGAAATTAGTTTCCTAAACATACGCTGTTGACCAGTTTTCCTACATTTTCTGAATATCCTCGTGGAAACTTTAAGTACCCTTTACAAAGCAATGTTACGTCCCAATGATAAAAAAAGGCATTCTCAAAGTGTACTTGACTGCGAATTTAAAAGTAAAATGACCTGAGACTCAGCTCTTTAGAAATGGATAATCCACTTAATCCGTCACATTGAGACAAGTTGTTACATCGCCAACAGCAAATAGTGCCAAATTTGTGTGATCAGATTTAAAATCTCATACACATTGTGAGCCTTTTGACTTACATAAGGCATGGTAAAAAGAAGAGATGAAGATTTTTTTATTACGTATTCGGAAGGAAAAAAATGTATTCGGTATAACCGACACGCAGTGGCTTATAATTGCAAGGTATGTCACAGGGTATTAATGTCCACTTTTTTTATCAAACAGAAAACTTTAGCAATTCCACATTGAAGTAGGTAGAAATTTTGGTAGATCACTTGCTGCAGAATTGGAAGGCTGCGAGTTGAAATCAGGGTTGAAGCTCATCGTCACTGGAAAATATAAAGTGGCCATCCTATGGACAGACAGCAGCATTATGAGAAGGCAGATTAGTAAGTACACAAAACAAGGATTGTGGTCTTCCAGTCTAATCTAATTCGCCACTGCAGGATTTTATGGTGAAAATGATCAATTAACTCATGCAACAGATCAATACCACACCATGACCACGTGGCTTCGTCTCTGTCAATTGCGCATATTCTATTACAGAAGCGAGCGGCTGAGCTTGCAGAGCCCCCGCCTCACAATCAGAAGGCTGCAAACTCCAATCTGAGCGGTCAAATGCAACCCAACGTTCCTTATGGGTCGATAAATGAATACCATGTTTTGGGATGTCAAGACTGGTTACCCAATGCATATTGTCCCCTGCCATCACAATATATATAACATGCCATAGCAATAGATTTTTCCATCACTGGCTTAGTGCCAACAATCAGCAAAACCTACTTTGTTAGTTAACAATGAAGTTGAACGCTGCCACACGTTAATTTTGGCTTTGAGACAATTTGGACTGGGTTCATATCTTCACATTGCAGAAAAAACCAATCACCTTTACAAACTACTGCCCCACTGTTGGCAATATAGACACTGGTACATAAGTTACCAAAGAGTTGACGTTTCCCAATCCGTGACCCAATTGTGTGGGAGTACACCCCCATCCCACCCTCCACTCTCTCACCTGCACATGTGTGCTGTGCTGAAGACGGTCTCAAAGTCGGTGCTGTCCTGCTGCGATGCCTTCTCGGCCACACCCGCCGCCTCCAGGAACCGGGACTGTTCCACCAGAAATTGAGCTGCGCACAAAAGCCCCGTGGGGCGGTCCGAGAGGTTCAATGTCTGAGCGCACGCGGAAATGCTTCCCTTGGTGGCAACTTGGGCTTTGGGGAGATCTGGTCCATCAGGGTGGTTTTGATGCCCAAACCAAAACCGTAACACCCCAGTCTTAAAATATGGGCCACTTGACAACAACACATATATATATCACATGCATCAAAGCTGACAGGCTATTTACATGAAGTGCATTATTTGTAAGAGAAAGCTGGCTATGCCCAGGGATAAACAAACTGCTATTTTAAGTTATTGCATTTGATTCATGTGTTGGCAAAAAAGCACTGTTTGCTGATACTTGGTTGAAAAGAGCAATCAATTGTTGATATTTCCACTGAATTGGCAGTTTCCTGCTGTATATAACTGGAAACTGCCTCCACAATACATCAATCGAGCTCTCTAATGCATTTTAGTTGAAAGTAATTTTCAAATTTGTGCTGTGCTAGCACAACAAAATGGTCTACACCTGTGAATAATGGCACACGATCTGTAATAGACCCTGTGAACTGAGGCTGAATAGCAAGTATGATAACCACTCGGCTCTCCATGCACTCAAATATTAAATATAGAATAATGTCAGTAAAGTAGAAGATGAGGTTAGATTTAGACAACGTACAATGCTGTTAGAACTCAACACATTTGTCAATAACACTGCCTTACAAGAAGAAAAGGCAATTGGTAACATTTCAGGCAATGGCTTTTCTTCATAGAACAAACAGGGAGTCAAGAGGGATAGCATGTATGTACGTTCAACTTCTTTCACACCGTACGTAGCCAACCGTGCTAACTGGAGGTGTGTAAAGAGTGGATAATGGTTGGAGAATAAACTTAGCACAATGGAGCCTGATGAGAATTACATTTTAAATATGTTTTCTGATGACCAGTTTTGAAATAAGCATATGAAGAGTTACGTAGTAGTAACTATTCAATACTGAACAAACCTTTTAACAATGAAGGAACAATTTGCTTCAAGGAACAGTAACTGATGTATAAAACTAGTGGTGGAACACCAGCACAAGTGATGGAACTGTGCATACTAGAGTACCGAAAGAAGGAATAATGAAGGATTCAGAGCACCTGAGATGGTGACATCTCAGATGAAGGAACGCTTTAACAGATGATGGTTATCACGATGATGATTGGTTTTCACGTTAATTAAATTCACGTGTTGCTTCTTTAAAGAAAAATGATAATTCACTTGTGATTATTCAGTCGAGCACAACACATATATGTATAAACTTAAGATTAGAATGTTAATTTACAAGCAGCTTATTCAGATTTTTTTCACCGCATTTAGTTTACCAATTCAAGCACCAAAATAACACAAAGTAATACAACATATATGGCACAACTGGGGAAGTGTTAATATAGAAAATGCAACCGTTAGGAAATTTGTTTTTACAAAAGACCTTTTTCTCAACTCATTACGAATCGAATGAGGGAAGAAGAGGCTGCCTATGGTGGACAAGTGCGATTGGTGGACCATACCGTACGGAATGCAAAGCACAATGACTGGGAAGTAAGCGCAGTGAGGCTCTCCAAACAGTGGCAAACAACGTGCGTTCATTGGCTTGAGGCGATCAGGCATGGCTCAACATAACATTAATTTGGAGAGTCCAGTGCTACAGGTGGCGTTAACAAGTACTGAATGCCAAAATCACGTATTTTATTATTCTGAGAGCAGGTGCGAGATTCACGGCTGTGCTACATCGCGCTCAACATTACACTGTTGCAGTGAAATTGAAAACAAGAAAAAAATGCAGGGAATCAGTTTCATTCTATCATCCATGATGGAAACTTTTTATCGATAACCTATTTTCCGCAATAATACATATAATGTAATTCATTTATCACGAGGACCACTCTTATCTGTAAAAAAGTATAGAAAGAAAATCTTCACAGTCCTGTCATCTGTTAATGTTTATCTGCAGTCAATGAACAATAATAATGCACAAACTGCCACAGGCTGCAATATGCAATGCACATTCAAAGCAATTGCGACTAATGTAAAAACCATCACATTTTGCAACGCCCAAACATCGACCCAGCACCAATGTTGAATGAAAAGTGCAGTGTGTGCAATTGCATCATTGAATACACGAGACAATGTGTGCACTATTTGGCGAGTAATTTTTCACAATTCAAACATATGTTAACTACCTCGCCTGGTATACATTAGGTCGTGGGTTCGATCCCGACTCTAATGCCTGTATATATTTGGAGCTTGCATGTTCTCCCCGTGGTCGTGTGGATTTTTCTCTGGGTCCTCCGATTTTTCCCTCCACATTTAGAAACATGCTTTTAAAGTATTTGGCTGCTATAAATTTCCCCGTTATAAGCCACTTCGTTGAACTATCATTTGTAGCCAGGTCGCTTCTGTAAAAGAGCTCAGTGGGCCTTACCTGGTAAAATAAACATAGTAAATAGTAAGAAGTCCATGTCCTTATATCTGGGAGCAGTCATAAACTCCATGTAAACTGGCTCGGTTAAATACCCATGAGGAAATCCAGCCACATATTTAGCATTACAGCAAGATTCAGAGCAACACTGGTGGTAGGGAATGGTACCATGGTATAACCACTATGCCGCTAGTGCAATTTGATTTCCTGGCACGGAAATTGAAAATAAGAGGAGGATTTACGCTAACTAGATACCTATTTCAAGACATCAAGTTTGCATTAACCACACATACTTGTGGAAAAGCATGTTCCCACATCAAAAACTGTCGAAACAAGGCCATAAAGAAGCCTGTCTCTGGTGTAGGTCAATCGGTTTCAAAGACAATGCATATATTATCAGAGCATGTTTGTTTGCATGTTTTTTCCACCAGTATGTGTGGTTCAAGCAGACTTGATGCCTCGAAGAAAATATTTTTTTGGTGTTTGAACATCTTAACACCTGGTTTATTGCCAGAAATTGTAAAGCCTATTCTATTTTTCATAATTTTTATTCTTACAAAAAGATCCCATAGAAATGTACACGTTGCTTTTCAAATCCTCTGTCCACCTGGCAGCATAAAAATAGGTAATACCGCAGTTAGTCAAATGGCCGGTCATGTGTGGGGTGGTTAGGTGTGGGTACTCCCACTTCTTCCTCTTGGCTCGCGTGCAAGAGAAGGCCGAATACCCTCGCGAGCAAAGTTCTACAGGGCTCCTTCTCTGGATGGTCTTCTGCCAGCAGTGACACGCCCAAGTGATTACAGGGGTGCATCTTTACCTTTTATAGGTCGGAAAACTCAATACTGTGGCCCTCCATAACTTAATGGCCTCGTGCTGAAGAAACTTGCATTCGTTGAATACAACAGCCAAACACATAGTCAAGGTCAAAGTGCCTCGTTGCCCAAATAGGCGGCAGTCTTGTCCTTTGGTGGCCCCTGAGTTAGTGGTAGAAATTCCACATTCTTATGGCAGGGACCCGTTCCACCCTTAGCCACCTTTCACCTTCCACAAAGTGGTACTGTATAAATGTTAACAATCACAGTGGGATGATGAGCCAAGTCGACCTCCAAACAGGACTTAAACTCATAACTCCCCAGGTAATAGGGCACGAAATAAGCGCTCTGCCACAATGCGCACAATATTGCAATTCACTGTTATGAAATGTACCCAATCGAATTGGATGATTGTAACTCGTGGACGCCGCACCTCACAACCTTCTCCGGTCAATCTGGCCACTGGCGTTTTGCAAACTCACCGTAGTGCATGTAGGTGTTTGCCTTGGCTGGGTCGAGGTCTATGGCTTTCAGGAAGAGCCTCTCCGCCTCCACTTTTCGATTCTAAAAGCAGATTAACGTACAGGCAAAACGAAGTGACACATCACCTGACCAGTGATGCATTTCAGTCGTTTCTGGTTTTTAGTATTTAACGCCAGAACAAGCTATTTCGTTTCTGTTCACGTGCCTGGATGGCGGGATAACGTTGAGTCACTCGGATGTGCTTCCTGAATTCAGTTGTACTCTGCTGGCTATAAAAGGTATGGGTATTTACTTAACAGCATTCTCAGCTATTGCTCTCGCAGTCCATCCTCGGGATCCTCATTAACAGGTGGAGAAGCGTGTAGATGGTGCTCGCTAGAGCACACAGTAGGAGGGATAATGAAGTGAAGTCACTCCTTGTAAGTGCATATAAAAAAGGATGACTACATTATTGGCATTGTCTCTTCATATACACTGCATGAACAATTGATTGAAAAGTGTCGTATGGTAGGGAAATTGTGGGTTGTCGAATCTCTTCCAAATCATCTGGGCCAGCGTGGAAGAGTAGGCCAAATGCCCTATCTAGAGGGGCTCTCTAGAGATGCCTCTAGTGGAGGATATCAGCTCAAGCTACCTCAATGAAGAATACTTGTAGCCTGATGGTCTGTGGTAATATTACTCAAATATTAATAAGAACAATTCGCAATGGAATGCCACTTTGATAAAAAAAAATACTAATTAAATGTCCAGGTCGTCAGCACACATTCATCAATAATTAAATCGATATTATTGAAAACAGGCATAACATTGTTCATTTAAGAAAATAAGTGTTCAAACGATTATTGCAGTGAAACTTAGCTCAATACATGTCATGAGTTTTTTTACGTTCTGACCAAGTCTCCTAGATATGTGAACATAATTAAAATCGTCTGAATGCACACTGGCATGATATGCATGCATGGATAATAATAGAACCTGTGCATCATGGTTGAAATATAATGGTTGTTATTTTACTCTTTAATTACGGGGCTCTTTGAAATCCTTAAAGGTAAAAAAATGCATAAAAGATAACATTCAGCAAGTACAATGTGACACCAAACGTTGGGTGATAAAAGGTAATATTTGAATTTTATTATTTTGTTTGTACAATGAGATGCATGAAAAGTTTAAATTGTGTATTTCATCATCATGAAAAAATAAGTGGCTTTACATTGAAAGTGCACAGTAAATGCTAGTTTTATGTTGAAGCAAGGTGCCATGGTGGCGAGATGTTAACTACCTCGCCTGATATACAGGTCATGGGTTCGATGCTGACCCTGACGCCTGTATATTTGGAGTTTGCATGTTCTCCCCGTGGTCGTACGGATTTTCTCCTCGTTTTCTGGTTTTTCAATCCACATTTATAAACACGCGTTTAAAGTATTCGGCTGTTTTACATATATACATGCTAAGCCACCTCATTGAGCTATCATTTGTGGCCAAATGGCTTTTGAAAAAAAGCGATATAGCTCATTGGGCCTTACCTGGTAAAATGAAATGTTTAATAGTTATTTTTTTAATAGGTGAAAGCCTACCGAGCTACAACACCTTAACAAATACAAATAGAATATGCAACTGAGATATAATAACAGCCTATTGTACCAAACCTTATTCTTGATAACGTGGGTTTAACAGACCAATTAATAGTGGCATGACAGTAGTTGTGCCTAAAAAAGATAACAATGTCTCCAGGCAATGGATAGAGAAATAACTGTGTGCAAAACTACACCCAAATAAACTAATGTAAGTTTTAAATGGTTCGGACTTACTGTATTTTCAGAGACATCTATGGTAGTCTAATTTCTATGTTGTGGTTCGCAACTTGGTTTCTATCTGGAATTCTTAAAGAGTCTAAGAGAGTGGCCGTGGGTTTTCTTGGAGGAGTGCTGCTTGCACACTGGCAGTACCGTAGCCGAGAGCAGCTTGGCATAGGTGAGGTGAGCAGGCACGTGATCCGGCTTGGACAGCAGAGACTCCTGGTACCAGCGCTCCGCTTCTGCCAGCCGCCCTAGGCGAGTGTGAGCTTCACCTGCAAACACCAAACAGAGATCCACCCCATCCCCAACCCCCCACCATTTAGCCATATAGACCACAGCGGCAAGTAATGTGAGCAAGCATCTATTTGGGCTAGCATGGCATGTTTAGGAATACATACCACCACCTTTTTGTCGTGGGATACATAAGCAGAACGCAGAAAGCTAGATTGACTGTTTCGTCTCATCCGTAATGATTTCAAAGACCGCACAAGAGCTCACTCCATGACACTGCTCCACTTTGGAATTCTCTCCGACCATCTCTGTTTCCCCAAGCTCGTATAACTTTTCTTTATTCAAGAAATATATGAGCGCTTATCTAATATATATTGGCAGTGCTGTTTGGTCACTTGATGTTTTGGCTGTTTGGGCCTGTGCTCAGCAACTGTGTTTAAAAAAAACAAAAACTTAATTCTGCATCTTCTGTTATTAACTTAACATTAATAACAGAAATTTGTTTAGTCCAGTGGCCCACATCCAGCACCATTTACTTAAATAATGCTAGATAATTTTGGTCTGCAAACATAATAGGCCAACGGACTAAGGTACTAATTTGAGGTTGACTTGACCGACAGGAGGCCCAGAAAAGGTTCAAATGCCACGTGTTTCTGATGTGCACAGCCAGGAATTGAACCCAGTGTGTGCAGCACTATGCTATGGCTCAAAAGTCACATTTATATGCAAACTCACAAAGAAAAAAAGACTAAACACTTCCTGGCAGCATTTCAACTTTTCTCAATGAAATTTATCCTGGCCAGATAACATCTGATGTCTATATTACACGGATTTTTGACACTTCCAAATTAAGTCAAGTTGTCAAAAAATGTAATCGACCATGACACGAACGCACATTTACTTTCATTTGTTTAATATTGTTAAATCGTTTTTTTTTTGGTGCGTGTGGAATTTGCTTTGCAGAAGACAGCGTTGCTTTGGAAACTTCCTACAACAATTACTGGGGGTATAGAAATCCAACTATAGGCAAAAGCTGGCTCAGCAGCAAGAGCAATGTCCACCAGGCTATAAAATTGAGCAGCAAAATAAGGACTGTTTGTGACATGGCACGTAAGTGGGTGGTTTGGCCAACCACTTGCTTAAACATTTTTGTCAAATTATAGCTGGTACTGACACAACACAAAACACTCGTTTCATATAGAGAAGGACAAAATTACACATTAAATACCAAATGGCAATTGAGCATATTGGGTAGTAATATTTAGTTAACTAATGGACATGTCACAACCTTTAATTCACAAAATATATATGCGATGCGCATGTTTTTTTGATACATATGTATACGGCCATATGTGTGCATATCGTTGGCACGTAAAGACATGTAAATGCACGGGTATGCTAACAGGTACAAGCACGCATGCATCTGCAATTGTAAAGGTAGACGTAAAACCATGTGGAAAAATTGCCGTTTGCCGACATGTCTGATTTGCATTTTCACACGTGTGCATGTGCGCCTTGCCATACACATTACCCAGCACGGACTTAAATGCCACAGAAATGTGTTCCTAAAAGCGCTGCATTCTCAGCTTTTAAGTAACAATATTACACGGTCTGTTGGCTTAAATGTAACCACTTTACCGAAAGGGGAGAGTGACTGCGAACGAGGAAAGGCAAAGCCTATAAAGGCGGTGTTTTTTTCAATTTACCGTATCTGGTAATACAAACAATATGTGCTTATTCAGAGCTGGGGGAAAAAGGTCGCAAGTGGGCAATGAGCCGCTGAGTTTAGACACACATGTAAAACACAACAGAGCAAATAGCGGGATCATGTAATGCAGATATTGAATATTGGTGTGTTGGGGCGGTGGGGTGATACATTATCTAATTGGAAACAAAAGTAAACCATTACACCTGTGCCAGACGTGTGGGCAGCATACACTACATTGAGCCACACACACGCATGCAAGGGGCACATGCACTCGAAAGTTTGCAGAGGGTTTTTTTTTTGTTGCAACCCCAGGACATTTGACAGTCGATCTCCGTGGATCCGAGTTGCTCAGCGTGGTTTGTTCTTGGATTGGGGAACCACCAACGTAAGCAACAACAAGTGACCTGCTGAGGGAGGTGATGCTTCTTGCACAGCAGCGAACACACTGAAGAGCCCTATTATACATCTCAGCTCTTTGTTTCTCCTGCAGGGATTTCACTACTTCCACTTACATACATATATATTTATATTCTTGATCGGCTCTTGAACTAGGCAAGACCCATGGCTATAATTTCCACACCGAGGTAAACAGTGTGTGGTTGAGGGTGCCGATACCATTTCTGCAAAAAATTAGGCAACATGCTGAAAATCCTGAAAAGAGGGGGTACTTTCTAGATTTGAAGCTTTCGTGACTGCAAGGATTCATATTCTTAGGTTTTTTCGGTAAAGTCACGTAGGTAAAACATCAAAATTAATGAAAATAAAATGAAAATAAAAAATTATTTTATTTTCATTAATTTTGATGTTTTACCTACGTGACTTTACCGAAAAAACCTAAGAATAGGGGGTACTTTCCAAAACGTTGCCTATTAAGCACGTTCCTGTTTTGGGCAGCAATGTTATTTACGGAATGTGTTGAATGTTTGTTATTTGTCTTTGTGCGCCACTGTCAATGCAGCAAAACAAACTAATGAGACATGGTTAGGGTTCTTGATAATCAGAAGATGCACTCATTACTAATTGGTGGAGCATTATAGGATTATTGTATTGAGCTGGTATGCACAGCTGCCAGATTGCAATGCAGACACTATCAGCTACTGTGCATAGCTACTTATTCTGGGAATTTAGAACAATTTTTTTTACCTCCAACAGAAAAAATATCTGCCCATAGGATATATTACTGAATGCCATTTTGTTTTCATTTGTTACCAAAAATGAGGTCTGATATTTAAAGGTTTTTCTGATTTTTCTTATCGTGAATTTTGTATTATTTACACGTGGAAAGGCCTTATAATTGCTGAATTTTGATTGAACACCATAAAAAATGCAGCAATGTTAGTTCATAAGACTTGATTTTCAACAGACCTCAATGATCCACCATGGATCTTTAAAATCTACCATACCACGTGTGGCTAATGGAATTATTGCAAATACATAAGCTGTCCAGCCACACGCCCGTTACCTCTATTGGCCACAGCTGTGGTGGTGAATTTGAAAACTCCGTAACGGATCACTGCGCGTGGCACAAATGAATCTGACAGTGCCTTTATGCATGCACGCACACACGGATCTACGTAAATGTAGACCAATATACATTTGTAAAACATTTGTATTCGGCCGGGAGGCATATGCATTAGAGCACTTAACACAATCTGAAGGTTGAGTTCATAACCCTGATCGGGATTGACTTGACCCACTATCCCTCTGGGGTTGATAAAACTAGCACCACTTTGTGGGAGGTCAACAAGTGTTCACCAATGACGGTGAGTATCACCCAGTGTTCATTTGAGGAAAGATATACTTTGACTTTTTATTTTTACGTTAAAGATATGTGCTGACATTTTCATGATATTCATGTATAGCTTTCATGTGATAAAAAATCACTTGCTTTTAAGCACAAGACATTGGAAAATTTAAGAATAAAAACAATTCTGTGCGGTCTTTTTCTACTTTAGATTTCATATTTTAACAATTAAATACAATTTTGATATTGATAAAGACACTCTCATCTTGTTTATGCAAACCCTACAAGAAATGACCAAGTCCATTAAATAACATCCATCCAGGGGTTAATTTCACAGCCACGAGGAGGCATACTATTCAACTGTGAAGATTAGTCCTTTGCTGTGTAGGCCTAGTTGCCTTGCAATCCCTCAAAACTGGCATAAAAATATCACATGAATAAAGATATTTATTGTGCATCAGCAACCGCTTTTAAAACCATTAACTTGATAAATCTGAGAAGCTAGTTTATCCCAAGAAGGCAACTATAATGTCAGCAATACTATTTTACTTATTTAACATTGGAATAAGCATTCAGCTCATATACTGCTTAGTGCAACAAACAAACACTTCAAGTTTTCCTTCAACCAAAAGTTGTCGATATCAAGGTGGGCTTGAACCGAGTTGGTCCTTTGATGGTTGATAACCAGGGCTTGCCAGATGTTGTAGGCAAAGTGCTGTAATGTGTCCATGAGATGGCAGTGCTGAATGTCATCCCCTCATATGTATGAGTTTACCCTAGGTATTATGGTTTTCTCAACAATGTACAACACTCATGAATAGTATTGGCGATATATAGGAATGCACCTTTATGAAATATTCCTGAATGTGCTATGAAGGTCTATTGCCTGAAACTTTGCCTGTTTTATATATATGGTGAGGCCACAGTGTTATTGACAAATGTATTATTGACAAATGTGTCGAGTTGTTGGGTTACTTGCGCTTACGCGCCACTGCCAATGCAGCACCAAACACGTTGTTTGATTTCTGAAAATGCAATAGTGAGGCTGTCTTTGGCAAATGTAAGTTTTTCTACTATTTTTTCATATTTTACCAGGTAAGGCCCACTGAGCTATATAGCTCTTTTTCAGAAGCGACCTGGCCACAAATGATAGTTCAACCAAGTGGCTTATCATGTGGACATTTATAGCAGCCAAATACTCGAAACGCGTGTTTTTAAATGTGGAGGGAAAACCGGAGAACATGCAAATTACAAACATACAGCAGCAGGCATCAGGGTCGGGATCGAGCCCACGACCTCCTGTATACCAGGAGAGGTAGTTAACATCTCGCCACCGTGGCGCCCTCAGTGAGTCTCTAATGTTTGCAATATACATGAGCTTCATTCATGCCATCCAAAAGATGGAACCCCCTTAAAGTGCACATTAGGAACATAATGGGATGGTGCTACGGATGTTGCTTTGTGGGTGAGAGCTATGTCGGGTTTCTAGAGAATGCCTGCATGTATTCATTGGTGGGTTCCCCATAACATGCAAATCACACCCATTGCTGCTTTGGCTTCTGATGGCTAACAAGGTGTGGTTCAAACGTGATATGGCTGCAAATGCCAAGGCTGGTCCTGCCTTTTATAACTCTTACAAAGCGTTTACACTGCTGAGGCTCATGGGATGCATTTGGTGATGGAGAGGAATTACTGATATGCACGATATCATTTAAAAATCTATTATAAACCACTTATTAGTGTCGGAGTTCACCATTGATGATGCTGACATGCTTCTCCGCTAAGTGAGTTCTGAAAGGGTGCTTGCTTCATTGCTTTTGACTGATGGTGCAATTGGAATTTGAGAAAAATATTAAATGACATCTAAGATTAAAAATGTTAAATTTGGAGCATGTGCACACATGCTCTTATTCACAGTTGATAGGCATATAAAATAAGTATATCTTCTTGGTTCTTTCGGTAAAGTCACGTAGAAGCGATATAATAAAATAATAAAAATAAAACATAATAAAATATAATTCTCACTAAGTTCCGGCCACAATGCAAGCAGCCATCCTCAGGTGAAGAACAGGACTGTCGGAAAGACAGCTGTCTTATTTTTATTATTTTATTATTTCCCTTCTACGGGACTTTATCGAAAGAACCAAGAAGATGAATCCCTGCAGTCACGAAAGCTTTAAATCGAAAAATTATTATAATTGATATATTCTAATTCAGATGATTCAGTTCAAAGCCTAATGACTAGGAGCTGAACTTCAATCGCTTTTTCGAGGCAGGACACGGAGCTTTGTTGCAACAAACATGATAAATAGTGCAACCATTAAGCACACCACTTTCACAGAAATAGAAGGTGTGCTTATAGAGACGCGTTATTGGCAGAATCTGTCAACACTTCGGTGAAATATCAACAGTGAGAGAGTTGTCCTTGAGATCAAAGCACCAAACAAGCAGCACCCAGACGTGTATCCGTGCATTGCAATGCCATTGTGCGCACCCACCCATCATGTTGTACACGCTCTGCGGTCCAAATTGTCGAGGCATCTTTTTCAGCGCTTCGTTGAAAACCTCAATTGCTTCCTACACACGCACGTGCACACATGCACACATGTAAAAAAAAGCATTAAAAAACACACAGATGTACATTTTTGTACACACAATTACACATTATTCATCATCGTTAGCCATGATCAATCCACTGCTGGATGAAGGCCTCACCAAGCCGCCACCATCTCCTGCAATCAAATGGTGTTAAAATGTGTCCAGCACCTGCACACGAGCAGTATTTATTGCTTCATCTCTCAACTAAGAACTATATAACTAAACTATTATTCTATTTTACCAGGTAAAGCCCACTGAGCATACGTAGCTCTTTTTCAGAAGTGACCTGGTCACAAATAATATCTCAATGAAGTGGCTTATCACGTGAAAATGTATCGCGGCCAAATACTCTAAACGCACGTTGATTCTAAATATGGAGGGGAAAACTGGAGGGCCCGGAGAAAAATGCACGTGACCACGGGAAGAGAGACCTACAAAAACTCCAAATATACAACAGGCGTAGGGGTCGGCATCGCACGCACGAACTCCTGCATACCAAGCGATGTCGTTAACATCTCGCCACCATGACGCCCCATCTCCTCGGTGGACGTGCTCTCGGGCCTAGTCTCACCAGTGTCAGACCAGAGCACTGTCAGAAGGCCAGCAGGCGTTCTCATGTTCACCACAGTGTATATACTGTGCGAGCGATTTCATGTGAAATGGCAGTCTAGCACCACGTGAGACCTGAAGCACACAACCGCAATCCCCACGTTTGGACGGGATACACCTCAACACACATTTGCGTCAGCCCATGAGCTCGCTCAAAACAGATATAAAATAACCGAGGTATGGTTAACCTTCATAACAATTAGTAATAAAAAACAACAACAATAACCCATACTCTTTGGGTCTTTCGGTAAAGCCACGTAGATAGAAAAATAATAAAATAAATAAAATAATAACTATATCACGACGTTTCGATCGCAATACAAGCAATCGTCATCAGGTGAAAAATATAGCGGGAGAGCTGCTGAGGCAGGAAGAATATATGGCGGAAGCGCTGCTAAGGCAGGGAGTTATAAAGGTTTGAGATGGGTGTAGCCCAAGGGTCAGTAGGCGGGGCTAGAGATGATATTTGCATGTAAATGTAAGATCGGAGAAATCTTGACAAACGAAGCTGTGGGGGTGGCCATTGTATTGTAAGAGATTAGCATGTCAATGTAAGAAATTTGCGTGTAAATAAAAGATTGGAGAGAGCTCGGAAAGAGCCACCGCCACATCGAGGAAAGCGAACAACAGTGGCTGTATTAGTGGATATAACTCAGAGAGTCGAAAATGACTGCTAACATAGGCAGATAGGAAGGGAACATCACAGCCAGTTTTGACCTAAACTGGTTAATAACGTCCTTCCAATGATTGCTCAGTTTGTACCCATCTTCTCGGTTGAAATTGTGTCTGTGCTTCGTGAGCACGTGATGGAGAGAGAAAAAGGAGACTAACTGGATAAGAAGCTGCAGATATTTTGTTCTGTGAATGTAGCATATTGAAGAAACATCAACGCTGCATCTAGGGAATCCCTGATTGATGAGAGCTTCACTCTGTAATGGACAACAATTGCTATATAACATGGACAAACAAATGAATGGTTGAGTATCAGCAAACCAAGATTAATGTTAAACATCTTACACATAAGAGTTCAGTTTACTCAATGGGTTGCACTATAACAAAAAAAAACCTCAAAGTGTGTCAATAACACTGCATCGGGTTTTAATTTTAAGATATTTTCAGCAAATATATGATGCGTGGGAGGAAACCAGAGCAAACCAGAGCAAACCAGAGTAAACCCAAACACGCAAGGGTGCAACACCCTATCTCCGTACAGATGGAAACCGATGAAGATTAGTCCCGTTGCCTCGACGCCCACGAGAAGGGGATTTCACAAATTCGCGTGGTGATCCACCAACCCTGCTTCCAGTGCCTGGTTACAGGTACATCGCCACCACCACCCGGTGTACAAAGAACAAGTAGATGCGACTCACCAGGACCAAAACTGGAACTTAAAAGTGGTTAGAAATATTAACAATGCTGACCGGTTACTCACCCTAACACTCAATGGTAAACACATTTTGTTGATGCTGCTGCGTTGGGAGCGGTGCACAAGCACAAATTATAAATATAAGAATGCAACATATTTACCAGTAACACTGCCTAAAAACAGGGAGTATATAATAGGCTACGTTTGAGGCAAAGGTCCTTTTTCTTTACAGCATGTCGGGAGGTCGCAGAGTGCTTGCACTCAACAGGCTGCTTTATGCAAATTATTTTTAAATATCAGTGTGACTATGTGCGTTCACGTGAAATGAGGTATCAGTCATGCTGGGACCTATCACCTACTACTTTTGGCACCAGTATCAATATTACCGAGCGATAATTTACAGAACAGTATCGCTGAATGTTGTTTCTGCTAGGCACTGCACAGAACAAAAGATATTCTTTTTAAATGTCGTGCTCATTGGCTTTAGAATTAAATGTGTTCAAGCATGTAGGGATGATTTCAAGCTTCAATGAATGCACTGCAAAGGAACAAATGAGCAAGCGATAACTCACACTTCCACTGGGAATTGCTGCTCCAAAGCGTGTCATGTCAGTCTTTTTTTAACATTGTTTTATTACTTATTCATTACTATGCTTGTTTACCTACGAAATCCTCACTGAGTCTGAAGACACTTTTTCAGGAGGGTCTTGCCAACTTGTAGCGGGAGGGGGGGGGTGATATGTGTAATCCCATTTGAGTAATTTTCAGGCACATTTTTATAATTTTAATATTTTGGCCAATCCCAGTTGCAGTGTATGGGTTTTATTTTTGTATTTTTTAGCTAGGGGAAGAAATCGAAGAACCTAGTAGAAACCCATGCACAACAGGGGGAGAACGTACAATTCCAAACAGAAAGGCACCCGAGTCACGGATCAAACCCAGACGCTTCTGGCTGTGAGGCACACATGTTACCACTGTGCCACCCTGCCGCCCATGTGAATGATGGAGATAAAAGTGCAGGAGATGAAATTGTTTTCATCTTGACATGCAACAACAGCAGCTGGAAAATTAAGTGTTTTATTTGATGCTGCCATGGGAAGTGGATTACATCAATCAACAGAAGATCTCTTTAAGTAGGTCAGATTGACGATACGATACAATACAACTACATTTACAAAGCAGCCATCAATCAATACCCTTCATGTAAGCACAAATGGGCCCATTTCGATGACCTCTCTTGCAACAAACAAAAATCAAACGAGCATCGGGTGAGTTGATTTGAAGCTTTCGTGACTGCAGGAATCCATACTCTTTGGTTCTTTCGGTAAAGTCACGTAGGCAGAAAAATAATAGATCACGATCCCCTGCAGCCGATCTCTTCAGTGCTGCCACGGTGGTCCACTTTACTCCAGTGACCCGGGCGCTGCCGCGGGGTCCACTTTCTTCCCCGCCCCCTCTCTCCCCCCACCTCCTCTCTCCCCCCCGACTGCCGAGGCCTATATAACCTCGTGCCACGGCAGATCTCTCGCCTACTTCAGCAGTTTTTTCTTGCTGTGGTGGTCCCACCTGATGACGATTGCTTGTATTGCGATCGAAACGTCGTGATCTATTATTTTTCTACCTACGTGACTTTACCGAAAGAACCAAAGAGTATGAGCATCGGGTGTTTCTTATATATCTTGGCAGCCTGGATCCAGTAATGGTAATTACAAATTCATATGGAGGGGGCTAGTTTATAGGACATATACTGGAAACTTTCCATGATATTCATTTAACAACCCTGACTGAAATTGCAACTCATGCATTTTAATTGTGAGGGAAGCACCGTATCTTGGCTATATATATTACATATCTTGAAACGAACAGCACGTCGCTCGTATACTTCTCGCAGTCTGAGGATGAATGCATACATCGACGTAGGTCTTTTCTCATACCCATCAATTGAAGAATACGCAGTTATCCCCCCCCACCCCACTTTGTTGCCACACATGCCTATGAACATTTTCACTTTAGTGACACAACATTCCGAAGGTGCAACGTGTGTATTTCAGCAATGAGACGAAATTAAACACTTCCACTTTGGCCCCACAATGAACGATCAAATTCGATATTTTCAGCTGCACTATAATAGCGTAGGAAAAATGCATTCGTATCAACAAGGTCACAAATGTAAAGTTTACCGTGCATAGCCTCCAAGACGCAGATTAAATCAAGCATGTTGTTGTTTATTTCCATTGACTACATCCATGAGCACCTATGACATTACTGTCTGCTGCTTTAATTAAGAAGGGACTAACGCTGGAGGCAGGAGAACTTACGCCATCACCTTTCTTTACTTAACGGGTCATGCACTCTGCATTATGTGGCACACTGGAGATACAATTGTTCAGTCTGTGCTATGCTCATCCCCCAGTGCGTTGTTTTGCAATTTTAATGTGAATTCCAATGGCAAGCCTGTCATTCTGCACTCTCAGCTCACTCGTGGGGGCTCGGTGAGCGAGGGACGAATGTCAAGGTCGAATGCTTTTGTTTTGGATGAAAAATCACCACAGTTTTCGCCCTTGCTATCACCGTCTCTGCTAATGATTTCAGAAAGTGATTCTCTCGTGTCACGCCATTATGTCGATGTTTCCTGTTGCCATCATTCTCATCGTCACCAGGGAATCTTTACTTCTGAATTAAGATCTGTTATTCTGGCTCTGTATTGAAGGAAAAAAACAATAATAATTGAAAAGGGATTAGTGGTGATGATTCTGATCGAGTCGAAGCATTTGTTAAAACCTACAGCCTCGGCACTATCACTGACATGTTACCCATTGAAGGCCAACACATCAAAAGGTGACAAGACTAGGATTGGTTCCAATCTTGAATCAACGCCAGTGGTCAAGTGTTTTTCATGCTTCCACTTTGTCAATACACTGCAAGATAAAGTATGAAAGTTGGGGGTTTTTTTTACAAGATATTCGAAAGAAACAATTGGGGAACTTCGATACACATGGGGCAA